GGGGCGAGGTGGCGGCCAGGTGGGGGGTATGGGTCGAGTTTGGGCAGGAAATCGTCGGGTCGGGGGTCGCAAGAACCGAGAGCTCAGAGGCCTGGGTGTGTTTGGGCCAAGCGGGGGCGAGGTGGCGGCCAGGTGGAGGGCATGGGTCGATTTTGGGTGAGAAATCGCAGGGTCGGGAGCCCCAAGAACAGAGCTCAGAGGCCTGGGGGCGTCGGGGCCAGGCGGGGGCGAGGCTGCGGCCAGGCGGGGGGGAGAGGGGGTGTCGATTTGGACGCGAAATCGCGGAATCGGGGGTCCCAAGAACAGAGCCCAGAGGCCTGGGGGCGTCGGGGCCAGGTGGGGGCGAGGTAGCGGCCAGGAGGGGGGTGTGGGTCGATTTTGGCGAGAAATAGATCTTAAGGTCGGGGGTCCCAAGAACACAGCCCAGAGGCCTTGGGGCGTCGGGCCGAGTGGGGGCGAGGTGGCGGCCAGGTGGGGGGTATGGGTTGATTTTGGGCCAGATATCGGAGGGTCGGGGGTTCCAATAGCCGAGCCCAGAGGCCTGGGGGCGTCGGGGCCAGGTGGGGGCGAGGTGGCGGCCAGGCGGAGGGGCATGGGTTGATTTTGGGTGAGAAATCGCGGGGTCGGGGGTCCCAAGAACAAAGCCCAGAGGCCTGGGGGTGTCGGGGCCCGGTGGGGGCGAGGTAGCAGCCAGGCGGGGGGTGTAGGTAGATTTTTGGCGAGAAATCGTGGGGTCGGGGGTCCCAAGAACAGAGCCCAGAGGCCTGAGGGTGTCGGGGCCAGGTGGGGGCGAGGTGGCGGCCAGGTGGGCGGTGTGGGTCGATTTTGGACGAGAACTCGTGAGGTCGGGGGTCCCCAGAACAGAGCCCAGAGGCCTGGGGGTAGCGTGGCCAGGTGGGTGCGAGGTGGCAGCCAGGTGGGTGGGGGGGGAGGGGGGGGAGGTATGGGTCGATTTTGGGCGAGAAATCGTGGGGTCGGGGGTCTGATGAAAAAAGCACAGAGGCCTGGGGTGTCGGGCCAGGTGGGGGTGGGCGAGGTGGGGCCAGTTGGGGGGCATGGTGGCGCATTTTGGGCGAGAAATCGTGGGGTCGGTGGGGACCCAAGAACAGAGCGAGAGAGCCCGCGGGATGTCGGGGCCAGGTGCGGGGCGAGGTGCGAGCCAGGTGGGGTGGGGGTCGATTTAGAGATCGCGGGGTCGGGGGTCCCAAGAACAGAGCCCAGAGGCCTGGGGGTGTCGGGGCCAGGTGGGTGCGAGGTGGCGGCCAGGTGAGGGGGGAGTATGGATCGATTTTGGGCGAGAAATCTTGGGGTCGGGGGCCCCGAGAACAGAGGCCGGGGGGCGTCGGGGCCAGGTGGGGGCGAGGCAGCGGCCAGGTGGGGGGTATGGGTCGTTTTTTGGCGAGGAAATCGCGGGGTCGGGTGCCCCAAGAGCAGAGCCCAGAGGCCGGGGGGTGTCGGGGCCAGGTGGGGGCGAGGTGGCGGCCAGGCGGGGGGTAGGAATTGATTTTGTGCGAGAAATCGCGGGGTCGGGGGTCCCGAGAACCGAGCCCAGAGGCCTGGGGGCGTCGGGGCCAGGTGGGGGCGAGGTGGCGGCCAGGTGGGGAGGCATGGGTTGATTTTGGGCGAGAAATCGTGGGGTCGGGGGTCCCAAGAACAGAGCTCAGAAGCCTGGAGGTGTCGGGGCCAGGAAGGGGTCATGGTGGGGGGCGTCGGTTGTTTTTGGGCGAGAAATCGTGGTGTCGGGGGTCCCAAGAACAGAGCCCGGAAGCCTGGGGGTGTCGGGGCCAGGAGGGGGTCATGGTGGGGGGCGTCGGTCGTTGTTGGTGGAGAAATCGTGGAGTCGGGGATCCCAAGAACAGAGCCCAGAAGCCTGGTGGTGTCGGGGCCAGGAGGGGGTCATGGTGGAGGGCGTCGGTCGTTTTTGGGCGAGAAATCGTGGGGTCGGGGGTCCCAAGAACAGAGCCCAGAGGCCTGGGGGTGTCGGGGCCAGGAAGGGGTCATGGTGGGGGACGTCGGTCGTTTTTGGGCGAGAAATCGTGGGGTCGGGGTCCCAAGAACAGAGCCCAGAAGTTTGGGGGTGTCGGGGCCAGGAGGGGTCATGGTGGGGGCGTCGGTCGTTATTGGGCGGGAAATCGTGGGGTCGGGGGCCCCAAGAACTGAGCCCAGAAGCCTGGGGGTGTCGGTGCCAGGAGAGGGTCATTGTGGGGAGCGTCGGTTGTTTTTGGGCGAGAAATCGTGGTGTCGGGGGTCCCAAGAACAGAGCCCAGAAGCCTGGGGGTGTCGGGGCCAGGAGAGGGACATGGTGGAGGGCGTCGGTCGTTTTTGTGCGAGAAATCGCGGGGTCGGGGGCCCCAAAAACAGAGCCCAGAAGCTTGGGGGTGTCGGGGCCAGGAGGGGGTCATGGTGGGGGGCGTCGGTCGTTTTTGGGCGAGAAATCGTGAGGTCGGGGGTCCCAAGAACGGAACCCAGAAGCTTTGAGGGTGTCGGGGCCACGAGGGGGTCATTGTGGAAGGCGTCGGTCGTTTTTGGACGAGAAATCGGGGGGTCGGGGGTCCCAAGAACAGAGCCCAGAAGCCTGGGGGTGAGGATGCCGGGGCGTGGTGGGAGCGTGGCAGGGCGTGGTGGGGAGCGTGGTTGGGGGTATCGGTCGGTTTTGGGCGAGAAGTGGTGGGGTGGGGGAAAGGGGGGCCCAAGAACAGAGGTTCCAAGGGAGGGAGCCAGGAGGAGGGTATCGGTCGGTGGCTGCTTGAAAGGAGAAACTCACGATGAATGGCTCTAGCACGCACTCTCCCTCACACGCCTCTGGGGTCGGCGGATTCTCCTCCTCCTCATCCTCCGCTTCGTTCCTGCTCGTATGTGTCTTCTTCCATGTCTTCCTCCTCGTTCTCGCGCGTGTCTTCCTACCCCTCGCTGCCCTCCCCTTGATCCACGCTGTCGTCCTCGTCATCCGCCGCCTTGTCGTCGCCATCATCCTTTCCCCCAGGACCAGGCTTCCGGAGGGAACCACGGGCAACGCTGGGGGGCACGGGCTCCGGCGAATGCATCGGCCTAAAGCATCGCCCACTCGTCGCCGATGGGGGGCCTGCTAGCCCGCCCCGCCCAGGAGCGCGCGGCCTCGCTACCGAGAGCCTATCGGCGATGTGCTGTCGATTCCGTTCCATCTCGATGTTTCCCTCCGAGCCGATTCTCCTCTGTCGTTGCCTCGACGGCAGGGACCTGGACGGCCAACCCGCAGAGGACGACGACGACGACGACGACGACGACGACGACGACGACGACGACGACGACGACGACGACGACGACGACGACGACGACGACGACGACCACGCCTTGCCCCGCACGAGGCTCCGAGGTTCATTTTCTGGCGGCGACCGCAACTCCAACGGATGGCACGGAATGCCCTGCCAGCATGTGGAGCAGGGCGCTGCACGCCAACGTCGGGGCCTGGAGGAGGCGGAGGAGGAGGAGGAGGAGGAGGAGGAGGAGGAGGAGGAAGATGCGGGGGAGGAGGAGGAGGAGGAGGAGGAGGAGGAGGAGGAGGAGGAGGAGGAGGAGGAGGGAAGGCCCGCGATCGAAGCGTCCCGGACGGCTGTGAGGGGCCCGCCCGCTTCCGAGGCGGCGGCGGGTCAGCGGGCAGCACCGCTCCCAGCTTGGCCGCGGGGGCGGAGGACGGCCCGGGCTGGGAGGCGCCTGGGGCTCCTCCGATCTCTCTCTCTCTCTCTCTCTCTCTCTCTAGGCCTCCCAGACAGTGTCCGAGCAGATGGGGTCGGGGGATCGCGCCGCATCGCCGACGCATCGGCGATGCGGCTCGATGTGGAGCCCGTGTTTCCCCACGCCGAAGTCGCCGATGCGGCGCGGTCCTTCGACCCCACCTGCTCGGACCCCATCCTGGAGGCCTCTACGCTCGGGGGCACCAGCCGGGGCGAGAAAAGGCTCCCGGGCGAGGGGCGTCCCAGGCTCTGGGGATCGAGGCGATTTTTCGGGCGACCTCGCAAGTGGTGCGATTTTGGGCGATTTCGTAGGATGGGCGAGTTCCTTTGGCGATATCGGGCGAGGTTCGAGGTTTTCGGGCGATTTCGTGAGTCCTCGGCGGCTTTCTAGCTTCTGGACGCCTTCCAGCGGCTGTGCCTCGCCGAGAGCGTTCCGGGGGTGCCCAGATCGTCCCGAACGGCCGCTGGAGAGCCGAGGTGTGACCCCGAAGAGCTCCCTCGCGTCGGGACAAAACCACGACGGACGGTTTTTGGTTACTTTCGGCCTGCGGAGGCCCTCGCCGGGCCCCGCAGGGACCATCAAGAAACGACTCGGGATGAGAAGCTGGTCCCGGGGAAGGGGTCGAGACTTTTGGGGGTCGAAATTGGGACGAAAACCATGACGTCGGGTGTCGGGCGGGGGGGGGGGACTGGCCATTGCCGTGGCCGTGGCCGTGGTTTCAGCCGGCGGTTTCTTCTCGACTTCGGTCTGGGGGCCGTCGTCGGGCCCTGGGACCACACACAACGTGCATCCGGGTGAGAAACTTCTGGGGGAAGCGGTCGGGACCTGTGGAGCCGCGGACTGCAGAAGTCATATCGGCGGATGTCCGATGTCGTGGCCGTGGCCGTGGGCATCGCTGTGCCGGAGGTCGTGGCCCTGGCCATGACTGATCGTGGGTCGCGGCCGTGGTTGTGGGTGTGGTCGCGGCCATAGCTGTGACCTGGGTGCTCGTGGTCGCGGCCGTGCTCATCCCTGATTCCAGGTCGATGTTCATCCTCGGCTCCCCCCTGAGCCAGTCTCCTCCTGCCGTTCCCCCTCATGTCCTCTCTCCGCTCCGCAGGGCGTCCACTAACCCCAGACCTCCCCGCGTCGTGACAAAAACCACGACCGGAGCTTTTGCCCGGACAGCTCTCTGAGAGCCAAGAGGGTTTCAGACTTCGAGTAGGGGATCGACTACAGGATTGATTTACCCCAAAATTGTTCCCAACCATCCTGTGGTGTTGGGTCCTCGTCTTGAAGAGACAGCGCCCCGCGTCTCACCTCCTCCCGCTGCCCCCCCGTCCGCATGGCACCGCCGCCCCATGTCGGCACACCCCTCACACGGTTCGTGGCCCCATAGGGAGCTCCACCGAAGGCCCCAGCGGGAGCGTCAGCATGGCACCGCCGCCCCATTTCGGCACAGCCCTCTCACGGTTCATAGGGAGCTCCACCGAAGGCCCCAGTGGGGGCGTCAGCATGGCACCGCCGCCCCATTTTGGCATATCCCTCACACGGTTCGTGGCCCCATAGGGAGCTCCACCGAAGGCCCTAACGGGAGCGTCCGCATGGCACCGCCGCTTCATTTCGCCCCCGCCCCCCCCCCCCGGATGTTTCGCGGCCCCGTAGGGAGCTCCACCGAAGGCCCCAGCGGGAGCGTCCGCATGGCACCGCCGCCCCATTTTGGCACACCTCTCACACGTTTCGTGATCCCACAGGGAGCTCCACCGAAGGCCCCAGCGGGTGCGTCAGCATGGCGCCGCCGCCCCATTTCGGCGCACCCATCACGCGGTTCGTGGCCCCATCAGGAGCTCCACCGAAGGCCTCAGTGGGGGCGTCCGCATGACACCGCCGCCCCATTTTGGCACATCCCTCACACGGTTCGTGGCCCCATAGGGAGCTCCACCGAAGGCCCCAGCAGGAGCGTCCGCATGGCGCCGCCGCCCCATTTTGGCACACCCCTCACACGGTTCGTGGCCCCGCACACTCCTCACACGCTTCGTGGCCTCATAGGGAGCTCCACCGAAGGCCCCAGCGGGAGCGTCAGCATGGCACCGCCGCCCCATTTCGGCCCACCCCCCACACGGTTCATAGGGAGCTCCACCGAAGGCCCCAGTGGGGGCGTTTGCATGGCACCGCCGCCCCATTTTGGCACATCCCTCACACGGTTCGTGGCCCCAGAGGGAGCTCCACCGAAGGCCCCAACGGGAGCGTCCGCATGGCACCGCCGTTGCATTTCGCGCCCCCCCCCCCCCCCCCGGACGTTTCGTGGCCTCATAGGGAGCTCCACCGAAGGCCCCAGCGGGAGCGTCAGCATGGCACCGCCGCCCCATTTCGGCACACGCCTCACACGTTTCGTGGCCCCATAGGGAGCTCCACGGAAGGCCCCAATGGCGACGTTCGCAGGAGTCCTCCCGACTCATGTCGGCACACCCTTCACACGTTTCGTGGCAGAAGGCTATACCGCGTGCGCTACTCGGAGTTTGCGCGCCCCCCTGCCTTCGTCTCATCTCCCTTGCGGCACTCGCAGCTGCATATGGTTGGATCCTTCGTCAGGACGGGAAAATCAATTTTGGGATAGATCGATCCTATAGTCGAGCCCTTATTCGAAGATTCGAAGCCAACAACGCAGGGTAGTCCAGAGCTTTCTGGCGCTGGGCAGGCAGCGTGGCAGCGGGTTGCTTGAGCCGGCAGCGTGTCCCGGAAGCGTTTCCCTAATCGTTCCCAGTACGTTTGCCGCAAGCCTTCCCGCAGCTTCTCCGCAGCCCTTCCCGAGCTCCTGCGAATAGGGGCCACATGCGAACCCTACCCCTACCCCCCACGATTTCTGAGGGGGAGGGTAGGCTTCACTTCGCACCGGATTTCCTGAGCGAAGTGAACCCCACCCTCCCGCTCAGAAATCGTGGGGGGTAGGGGTAGGGTTCGCATGTGGCTCCGTAGCGAAGCTCCTTTCTCGAGCTTGCAGGCTCCCCAGACCATTTCAAGCTTTCTTGGAGGCGTTCCCTGCGAGTCTTTACGCGCTGTGGACTGCTCGGCGATCTGGGCTCCGGACGCCACAAGTTCGACGTGTGCGGTCTCTGGTGGCTCTCACCGGGACCCATGGGCCGTCAGACAACGGCTCGGGTTGGCAGCCCGGCCCCTTGGGAGGAGGTCGAGACATCTGGGGGTCTGCGTGGTGATTTAGTTGCGGCGTCGCAGGTCAGGGTCTTCGGAGGGCGTCAAACTATACATTTACAGTGATCCTGCCCAGACCGATCCTGGTCGGTGTCTGTATGCCTCCTCGGCGAGGTCAGGAGGGCGTATACACCGACTCCTACATCCCTTGCGAACGGAGTGCCAAGATCGACACGTCGCAGCACGGCACGACACAGGCCACGGCGGCACATGTTTCGCGTTGTGTTGTTCTGAAGCGGTCTTTCCTAACCGCAGGAGATTTTTGATGATGCCCCCCCCCTAAGCTCTTGGCTGGCAATTAAACTCGTCCCTCCCCTCCTCGGCCTTCCCCTCATCATCCTCATCACCATCAGGGGTCCTCATCTCCCCCACGATCATCAGCGGTGGCCGCCACAGCCGCCACGATCATCCAGCGGTGGACTCATGGTCCCAACTATTGTTGAGGCCCCGTTCCGTAAGTAAGCCCGTGGAAACATACTTAATTTCCCATTGTTGTGGGTTCTAACAACCTACTGCGGTTAATTCACTTCAGACCCTTCGCAACATTGGACGTTCAGGGGATGTTGGTAGTTACATGCGGAAGCTCCATTTTGAAGGCATGACCCGTATCTCATCAGTGACATTGTTGCAAGGTTTTGAGACGACTGTGCGCGGCGCTGGGGCGATAGCCGCATTTCAAACACAGAGTCGCCCTCCACCTTGACGCTGTTGCGAACTTTTGAGACGAACGTGCGCGGCGCTATTGTCAGAGCCCCTTTTTGAGAAGGATCCGTCCTCCAGCCTTGTTTCTGTGGCAAAGTTTCAAGACGAACGCGCGCGGCTTTATAGTGAGAGCCCCATTTTGAATACGACCTGTGCTCCATCTTGGTAGCGGTGGCAAGCTTCCAGGAAGCATGTGCGCGGTCTTGAGGCGAGTGCCCCAGTCAGGAAACGGCACCCTTCATACTTGAAGCCGAGACGAATGTGCGCAGCGCTAATGCGAGAGGCCCATTTTGTCAACGCCCCCCTCCAGAGGAGGAGGAGGAGGGGGAGAAGGAGGAGGAGGAGGGGGAGGAGGAGGAGGAGGAGGAGGGGGAGGAGGAGGAGGAGGAGGAGAGGAGGGGAGGAGGACGGGGGTGTGGTGCCTGTTGCAGAATTTCAATCTTCAAGACTGTAAGCTGTAGGGAACCCACGCCTGGCAGGTCCTACCGGCACGCCCAGGGTTGGACAGGGAGAAGTTCTCATGCAGGAAACGAGATGGAGGAAGGTGCGGAGGCGGGGTGGCGGAAGCCAGGTGGAGAAAAAGTTGGAGAAGGAGGAGGAGGACGAGGGGGAGGAGGACGAGGACGAGGACGAGGGGGAGGAAGGAGGAGGAGGAGGAGGAGGAGGAGGAGGAGGATGAGGAGGATGAGGAGGAGGAGGAGGAGGAGAGGAGCTGGAGGAGGAGGACTGAGGGGGGGAGGAGGAGGAGGAGGAGGAGGAGGAGGAGGAGGAGGAGGAGGAGGAGGAGGAGGAGGAGGAGGAGGAGGAGGAGGGAGGCGGGAGGATGAGGAGGACGATTGCGTGGCCTTTTATCCCCCCTATGCCGTCCAGTACGCCGCCGTGGGCGGCGCGGACTTGCTGGTCGGCCCGTTCGGCGCGATGGGGAGGGACACCCCGCGCGGCGCCGTCCCTACCCCTCGCCCTTCTTGGGATTCTTCAGAGGGGTCCTCAGGATTTTGAAGGCTTCCCTTGGGGTTCCTCAGGCTTTTCAGGATTCCTCGCGGTTCCTTGGAGTTCCTCGGGATTCGCCGGGGTTCTTGAGGCTTCTCCAGGGCTCTGGAGGATTCTTCAGGCTTTTCACAGTTTTTTTCAGGATCCCCCCCGCCGAGGTCTCTGGCAGGGAGAGGGCGTGGGGCAGCGAGGCTGGCGAGGGTCAACCTGTCTGTCCTTTGCTGCATGACGATTGCTGTTGCCCTTCCAGCTGGTGCGTGGCTCGCTCCCGCGCGTGCTCCCCGCACAGCATCTGGTGGATCCTGGAGGCCACGGCCTCTTCGATACTTTTTTGAATGTGTTTGCTGTTGCAGCTCGGCCTAGACGACTGTCCGCGGCGGTGGTCATCCTCTTCTTCTGATAGAGAACGCCTACGGCGAACCACCGCCGCCCCCTGCCTTGTTGAAAACGCCTGTATGGCTAAGCTATTGGGCTACGTGCCCCCCCCAGCGGTTGTAGATACCCTTTGGGGAACACTTGTGGGAGGAAGTCGGATGATGATGATGATGCTGCTGCTGCTGATGATGATGCTGATGCTGATGCTGATGATGATGATGATGATGATGATGATGCTGATGCTGCTGATGATGATGATGATGATGATGATGACGAGGAGGAGGAGGAGGAGGAGGAGGATTCGCCTGGATTCGCCTGCCTGATCCTCCCCTCTGTCACAGCAGAGACGACGATGAACAAAAACACCACCGCCCCCCAGGCCTCTCCTGCGCGACAATGGGCTGCCTCAGGAGCGAAACCCTGAAAAGCTTACAGGAGCTGTAGCTGTGAACGGTTGGCTCCAGCTATCTATCTAACAGTGTATCTGAAGATGTGTCACCCTTGCTTGCTCGAACTGATCCCTGCACTGTGGCTGGGAGGAGGAGGATCAGGGATGAGGCTGAGGATGAGCAGGAGGACTGATGGTGATGATGTTTTTGCTTCTGATGATGATGATGCTGCTGATGATTATGATGCTGATGACGATTTTGATGCTGATGTTGATGCTGATGCTGATGCTGATGATGCTGCTGCTGATGATGCTGCTGCTGATGTTGATGACGATGATGCTGATGATGATGTTGATTATGCTGATGCTGATGATGAGGATGCTGATGATGATGCTGATGACGATGATGCTGCTGCTGCTGAGGATGATGGTGCCGATGCTGATGCTGATGATGCTGCTGATGATGACGATGACGATGATGATGATGATGATGACGATGATGATGATGATGATGATGATGATGATGATGATGATGATGATGATGATGATGATGCAGATGCTGATGCTGATGATGATGACGATGATGCTGATGATGCTGTGGATGCTGATGACGATGATGATGCATATGATGATGATGATGATGATGATGATGATGATGATGCTGATGATGATGATGATGATGATGATGATGATGATGATGATGATGATGATGATGATGATGATGATGATGATGATGATGATGATGATGATGATGATGATGATGATGATGATGATGATGCTGATGATGATGATGATGATGATGATGCTGATGATGATGATGATGATGCTGATGATGATGATGATGATGATGATGATGATGATGATGATGATGATGATGATGATGATTATGATGATGATGATGATGTTGAGGTTGATGATGCTGATGATGCTGCTGATGCTGATGATGCTGATGATGCTGCTGCTGATGATGCTGCTGATGCTGATGATGTTGATTATGATGATGATGTGGAGGAGGAGGAGGAGGAGGAGGAGGAGGAGGAGGAGGAGGAGGAGGCGGAGGACGTGGAGGAGGATGAGGGAGGAGGAGGAGGAGGAGGAGGAGGAGGAGGAGGAAGGAGGAGGAAGGAGGAGGAGGAAGGAGGAGGAAGGAGGATGGAGGAGGAGGAGGAGGAGGAGACCGTCGGCACCAACCAACCATCTCATTACCCACAACGACCGCGGCCAGACAGCCCAGACGACCACTTGAAAGCCCCATTTACAGCCCACATGCTATACCAGCCCGCCGACGTACCAGCAAAGCCACCACCTCCTCATCACAAGGATGCACAACCAGGCAATGCCAACCCATCCCAAGCGGACGCCTGTCCCAGATGGTCGACAGCAGGAACCTATTACAGGGAGGCAAACGCCCAGGACAGACCACCACGCTCCAGCAAACCGTACTTGCCAAGCCCCCGCCAAAGCCAACGCCACCGAACCGAGACGGAAACTTTCCAGTCAGCAGCCCACCACCCGTGTCAACAGCCGACGTTCCCTACAAGCCACTGCCGGTAAAGGCGGTCCCGAGGTCACCGACCGCAAATGGCCTGGCCACCGTCTACGAGGGGGTGCCAACACTTGACGAAGGGCCACATCTCGGTATCCGATCAGGCACTACTTGTCACGACCTCGAGCACGACGCCATCGGGCGGCTGACCACCACCATCAGCATCCACTACGACTACACCACACCGATCTTCAATATGCACGTCCTCAAACTGATCTACGACCAGAACACTGGGCCCGTGCTCGAACAACCGAGCACAGCACGACCAGTTCTTTCATACTCTTTGGGCCCCCTTGACAACTACATGGGCGAGTTTGCCAGCCCACCAGTCTACAAGTTCGAGATGACGGACAAGCAGAGGGTGCTGTCTTGTGCTGGCGCGATTCATCATCCACCAGCTTTGGACCATCGCCTCATAGCTAGTGGCCGAGGACCGTAGAGACTTCCAACACCGTACCATGCACGAGTGGAACGGGGTGACATCCTTTCCTTCAAAATGGGAAGACGCTACAACCCCACGGGTATACCGACGCCGTTTGCAAATTCAGCCTTCCAGAGGGACATCCCAACCATATGATCGAGAAAAAAAACTACCTTATCAACAGCCATGACGTCACATCACCGGCAAACCTAAAGGGCCAGCCGACGCGATCAGGCCCAGATGACAACGACGAACCTCTGGACCGCGGACGCGCCTCAGGAGGCCGCAGCGCCCGCACCAACTACGAGCAATACCGATCCTGAGCAGGGGACGGGCCACAGCGCAGGCAAGAGCCCTACCACAGGGGGATTCTCGATGCACAGTACACCTTTCCAATTTCGCCACAGGAAGCCATGCTGCGGCATCAGCTGCCACACGTATTATGACCACAGACAGCATCCCAAGACCGAGGACGACATCCACGACGCCAGGTACCCCGTCCTTCGCGACGACATCAAAGCAGTCACGGAAGAGAGCGAGGAGGAGCACTACCCCAGTTACGGCAACACGGACTAAGCCAAGAAGAACCACGACACCACGACTACCAAAGGCAACGACAGCCACGCAAGCCTGCCCTACACCCAGCCAGGGGAGAGCCAGGGCACCGCCGACACAGCGGGACAGCTTCGCCTGGCCTGGCCTAGACTGGCCCACCCCGATTGACCCACCACAGCAATAGCTGGGATGCCATCATTGCCCTGGACTCCACTTACCCCGCGACGTCAGCATTCCCACGCTTCTAGTAGCACGTACGACGGTGTTCACATCATGGTCTGCACCACGGCGCCGACCTCATCGACTCGCTGTGTTGCGCAGTGGGTCAACCATGGTGGCTTTCTCGCCCACGTATGCTACGCCAGTCACCCACCGATGAGAGGGCCCTCACCAACCTTCACTCCCTCCTGGCTCTTCCTTATCGTCACCAGCCGCCCCCTCCGTTTGCCCCGTTGACCTTCTCCTGGCCACTCTTGTGGCGGAGGGGCGGCGGTGCGGGCATGGGTGGAAGGAAAGGGGCGCGCAACCGTCGGCGGTCATTGCGATATCCGACACTACCGCAGACAGCATCCATGCTGCAACGAATCTCGGGCTGCAGGCCACCAGCCGCGCCTGCTGCTTCGGGTTGCCCGCTCAACTTGCTAACAGGTTTCGACTTCTACATCGAGCTGATTGCCTTCAGCCATCTCCCTTACTCGCATGCAGTCGACAGAAGCCAACCACTGGTGGCGGGGTGGGGCAGGTAGGGGCGGAGGGACAGCGTGGCACAAGCGAGGCCGCTGCCTGGGTGGCGCAAACCTCCCCGTGCCTAGCGCCCCTCCCCCGCCCCCGCCCGCCAGTCTATCTCTGGCAACCCTCCGGCCGCCTCGCTGGTCGAGGTCCCCCGTTGGCGTCACTTGGGCAGGTGGGGGTTCTTACGAGCAGGGGGGAGGCCCTTGAGCCGCCGCCCTCTGCCGAGCGTGGCCTCCCTCAAACCAGCCGCTGCCACCGCCGCTGGCCTGCGCGGGCCCGGCGGGGGCCCACGCCCTGCCCCACAGCCCCCGAGGTGCCCTGCGGCCGCCTCGGTGGGCGAGGGCCCCCCCTTTGGCGGGGCTCGGGGTCGGGGCGGCGGGGTGTCCGACGGGCTGGGGAGAGGCTGCGCCATCCATCTGGGCGAGTGTGGCCGCTGCCGCGCCGATGCCACGCGCTCAAAGCCTGCGCCGCTTCGGCACCTCGCAGCTCCCACCAGAGCTCGTTCTTTCAGCGCCACGTTTTCGCCCCAGCCCCCGCTGCCCCGCAGCGCACCCAACCAGCGGCCCTCTGCCGCGAGTGTGCTCGGCGCTTAGGCGAGAGCTACATTTTGAACACGGACCGCACTCAATCCGTGAAGTTATTGTCATTTTCAAGACGAGTGCGCGTGGTGCTCAGGCGAGAGCCACATTTTAAGAACGGCCGCCTTCGATTCGTGAAGCTCTTGCCGTTTTCAATGACGAGTGTGGGCGGCGCTCAGGCGAGGGCCTTGTTGAAAACGAACTGCCGTCCATCCGTAATACGGTTGTCAGTTCTTAAGCTTCAGGATCATGAATGATGAGGAAGTTTCAGGCGAAACGCCCGGCCCGCCCTTCCGACTGGCGCAGGGGTGCGACAGGGAAGAGTTATTCGTAAGTATAAGGAAAAGGACTGGAGGAGGAGGAGGGGGAAGAGGAGGAGGAGGAGGCGGAGGAGGAGGACGAATCTCAGTGTAAACCAACTATTCGTCAATGAGATTGCAGTCAACCCTCCCCCAAAGCTCCCTTTTCGTAGGCCCATACAGAGATTCATGTTCTCTTAGCGGAGTGCCCCGTTTGAAGACAACCGTTTGAAAATCCGGATCCGAGCCAGAATACCGCTGCTGGGATTGCAAAGCCGCGAGTCAGCGCTACTGTTGCGCCTTGACTATCCTGATTCGTGCCAAAACACCATTTGTCGGATTTCAACTCAACGAATCAACGCAACTGTTGCGCCCTGACAGTCCGACATCGTGCCGAAATACCGTTTTTGGATGTGAATCATGAGAGCCCTTGAAACTTCTTCAGTGTTTTAAGACGTGCGCGGCGCTTAGGCGAGAGCCACATCTTGAAAAAGAGCCGCCCTCCATCCGTGAATCTGTCGCAATTTTTGTCGAAACGAGTGCGCGCGGCGCGAAGGTGAAAACCACATTTCGAAAACGACTCGCCTTCCATCCGTGAAGCTTCTGAAAACTTTCAAGGCGGATGCGCGCGGCGCCAGGCCAGAACCGACTTTAGAATGGCACGCCTCCCATTTGTGAAAATGTTGTAAGCTTTGAAGGCGAGTGTGCGCGGCGCTAAGGCAAGAGCCGCATGTTGAAAGCTACCCGCCCTCCATCCGTGAAGCTGTTGCTCTCAGTCCAAACGCCCGCCCCGCCCTTTTGACCGGCTTCGGGGTGCGACAGTGTGGAGTTGCTTATGAGGAAATTGATTGGATGAGGAGGAGGAGGAGGAGGAGGAGGAGGAGGAGGAGGAGGAGGAGGAGCTGTTTGCGTCGTTATCCTCCTCTCCCCTCTTCCGCGCCCATCCGCCCTCTCTTCTCCTCCCTCCTCTTTTTGCTCGTCTTCCACCCCGCCCTCCTCGTCCTTCTCGCTTCTTCCGCCCTCCCGCTCCCGTTCCGCGGCCTTCTGACCTGGATGGGGCAGGCGCCTCCGGCGGGGCGGCTGCTTCCCCGTCCTCCTCGTCCGTCGTGAAGGCGCTGCGCGGGGCACGGGAGTGCTGGGAGGTTCGGCGGCGAGCGAGGTGGGGAGATGAGGAGGAGAAGGCCTTCTCAGAAGGCGGCGGGACTTCGCGCCCTCGCGCCTTCTGTGAAGTTGTCCATGTTTTCGGGGAAGGCTCAGGACACTTTTCGCCAGAGGACTTCCGAGCCTTCTGACAAGATCTTCTCCTTCTTCTCACTTCCCCCCCCCCGCTCGTCGTCAAGTGGTGGCTGGGATTCATGGCGCGTTCGCATATGCAGAGGTCGAGATCCGCGTTGTTTTTGGAATCGGGTGGCGGGGGAACTTTCGAGTGTCATCCCGCAGTTCCTTCCAGAGTGTGGGTGAGGGCGGGGCTGGGAAGGACGAGGAGGCAGAATGGGAGGATTCAGTGGTAGTCGATGCTGCTGCTGATGATGGTGATGATGATGATGATGATCGTGGTGAGAAAATTGTTGAGAAAGGTGATGATGATGCTGCTGCTGCTAATGGTGATAATGCTGATAGTGATGCTAATCATGATGATTGTGCGGTTGTTGATGATGAATATGATGGTGATACTGCTGCTGATGATGAAGGTTCCTGTGAGAAGGAGGAGGTGGAGGGAGGATGGGGAGGAGGAGGGGGAGGGAAAATGCTGAGGTTAATTACTGCCGATGGTGATGGTGATGCTGCTGCTGCTGCTGATGATGGTTCTGATGCTGATGCTGATGCTGATGCTGCTGCTGATGATGATGATGGAGAAGAAGAATATGCTGCTGATGATGATGATGGTGGTGGATGATGATGATGCTGATGCTGACGATGCTGCTGATCATGATGAGGAGGTGGAGGAGGAAACGGGCTTGGGATAAACAGAGGGATGCCCTCCAGGATGAGGATGAGGAGGCGAGGGACAGTAGGAAGAGGGTGACACAGCGATTACTGCGACGATCCAGATGATGATGCTGCAGACGATGATGAATACCATGACGACGAGACGTTTACGAAATTGAGACGGACAGTGTGATGCGACGTTTATGAAATTGATCGGGGGGGCGAGAGAGGAAATGCGGCGATGGGGACAGCGGGGTCGCCCGCTTCGAAAAAAACCGTGCTTTTGTTGTGTTTCCCAGGGGTCCTAGAGGGCGTGCGTGGGGACGTACCATAGGGCCGTGGGAGGGCCGCGTCAGGGGACGGGTCCAGGGGCGTGTTTGGGGATGCGCCCGGGAATGTGACGAGGGACGTGCCAGTGGGTGCATTGTGCCACAGCTCGCACGAGGGTTAAGAACAGCCGTAGCTTTGGAGGGGTACCCACATGTTCTTCGTCCTTCTGGGGTTCCCCACTTTGGAATATTATTTGTTTTGTGTGTCTCCGTGGGGCCTTGGCATCGGCGGAGGGGTCTCATGTTCTTGACCCGCGTTCCCGTGGCCATGCTTTGACTGTTTTGTTCTTTCGGGATCATTTTCGACAAGATCCGCTGCCGGTCGGTTTCACAGTTCGGAGGTTCGTACAGAGGGGGTTGTCGCAAGGTGGGATTAGGGGGAACGAGCCCAGTTGGATGCTCACATTTCCTTCTTCCAGGGGGCCGTTCGGAGTGGTTTTCTTTTGTCCCACCTTTGCCCCCACTCCACCTCTGGCGTCCCGTCGAACAGGGAACGTGGTCAAGTTTCACTCACAGCAGCCGGTGCGGTGCCCATTTCGGGCATCATTTGCTGTCAGGCGTCGCCCCACTTGGTGCTGTCCTCGCTTTGGGGTCGCCGCAGGGGTAGGGAGCGCGAGCTCCGACAGGGTCACGGTGCGAGAAGGAGTGGTGTCGCCCTCCGCGCCCCCTCGTGACGTTGGCATTGTGTTGGATGGTCGATGTACGGTTTGTGCTCTCTATGGTCATACGCACCCGTCGGTGGTTGGAAGTAGGTATTTTTGAATTCTCAGATCCCAATCTACCTTGGCCGACTTCTTCCTACATCAAGAGTCCAGTGGTTATCCCTCTTCCCTCCTCTTCAGGGGGCGGGCGGAAGTCCAATCTACTTTCAACGTCTTCTGGGGCCTATCGCCTGTGGTCATGCGGCTCGTCTCGAGGTGCCTGTCTTGTGTTTTTATGTTTCACGGCTCATCTGGAGAATACTGCATGCGGGCGCATGTGGTTCGACCACCGTCAGTCGACCCTCCTCTCTCTGCGGCGCAGCCATGCTGTCTTGATATGCAGTGCTTGAGGGTGGAGTTGTGAATCTTCGGTGCTTCGCGTGGAGAAAAATCAGATACTTTCAACGCCTTCCTACTTCACGGTTCTGTCTACTTCTTCTGACTTTCGGGTATTCAGATTTTGGGTCCGGGTCCCGGCCGCATGCGCAGGACTTCCCTGCCACGTTGCCGTAGACACGCCCGTTTCAGCTCGTGTGCGCTGGCCAAGGTCTCGCGTGCTGGCTCGCCTATCGCAGGTTTGGCCTTCGGATATTTCGTGGCGCCAACATCGCAGAGCGGTGGGATGAGCCCAGATTGTCCTGGAGAATTTGGTTCCAGAGTTCAGATTGAATTTCGTGCGGATTTTTTCTGGCCAGGAATAGAGACTACAAGAAATCCACGTGTTCTTCACTTCGTTTTTCGTTCGCCGTTTCGGGGGTTTTGCATTGACAGAAATCCAAGCAAAAATCCGCTGCAGCACGTCTGCAAGGTCTGTGCAGTGAGATATTCCAGGTTTGCCTAGTGCATGCGGTTCGGCACTCACGGCGTATTTGTTGATGGACAAACGGATCATACGTGTTCAGCAGGTAGCGCGCGTATGGTGAAGGTACGCAGCCGAGCAGCGCACGCACCGTTGGTTGCTCCCAACTGCCACTGCACCGACGGCGCACGGTATCCTATGTGCAAAGAAACGACTTATGCTCTCGTATGGTCCACATGTATTCAGCAGACTGCGCGTGGATGGTGAAGGCACGCAGCCGAGCATCGCAAGCACCAGTTGGGTGCTCCCCGCTGCGACTGCACCAGCGTCAGGCGTCGAGACCTTCCCCACCAGGGCGCCTTCGGCAGGCCCGCGCGTTGTGTCTGGGAAGGGGCATGGGCGGCGGCAGGGATCGGCGAGGGGACGTCTGGGGAGGAACAGGTACCGATACCGCTGCCCTTTCTTCGTTTTCGCCTTCTTAGCCTCCTGGGAGGCCCTCGTGGCCAGCGCTGGATCCGCCTCGGAGTTTTCTGGTCAGAACGTGCCCAGGAGAGGTCCATGGAGCAGTGGCACCTGCACCCACTTGTGATTGTTCCCCCAGGAAAGGCCTGGGCGCTTCTGCTTCTCATAGGGGCCTGGGCGCTCCGACTCCTTGGAAGGCCGGGGGGGGGCTTCTAAGAGGGCCCCCTGCCTTCATTAGACGGCCGCCCCCCTCGCCCCCTCCCCCCCCCCCCGGTGCGCGCTGCCAATTCCTCGGAGGTCCGCGCGGATTTCTTGGATCGGCCCTGGCACCCCCTCCCCCCCTGGCGGCGCCTCCGGCGCCGCCCCTGGCGCGCTCCAGGGGGGTCCAGCGCCGATGCAAGAAATCCGCGCGGACCTCAGAGAAATTCCGTTTTTGCCGCTTGTTTGTTCCTCTAGGGAAAACAAGCTTTTTGTTCCTCTAGGAAGAAGGACGGTGGGGGGGAAGGGATGTGGGAGGTTGACGCGACATCGGGTGCCGAGGGCGTCTGTCTAAAATGAAACTGACCAGGGGCTGCCTGATCTGGAGCCACCACGGCTTCGCTCGAGGAGCTGGTTCAGCGATGCGCGGGAACCAGGCCACGCAAGACTCCAGAGGCACCACGATCGGCCAGATGATCAGCGCCCTCGTTTTTCGTCCTCGTCCTCGTCCTCGTCCTCGTCCTCGTCGTCGTCGTCGTCGTCGTCGTCGTCCTCGTCGTCGTCGTCGTCGTCGTCGTCGTCGTCGTCGTCGGCTTCGTTTTCTTTGTCGTCGTCGTCTTCGTCGTCGTCTTCGTCGTCGTCGTCGTCGTCGTCATCGTCATCGTCGTTGTCGTTGTCGTTGTCGTCGTTGTCGCCGTCGACATCCTTGTCGTCCAAGTCGTCGTCGGCAGAAATTCCCGAGCAGGGATCGTTAAGGAATGTCCCACCTGCTTCAGGAAGGCGTGAGCCACGCCGCCACGTTGTGTGAGGACTCGCCGTCCGCTCCCTCCTCCCCTCCTCCCCCCTCGTTCCTCCTTCCCTCCCTCCCCCCCTCCCTCCTCCTCCTCCTCCTCCTCCTCCTCCTCCTCCTCCTCCTCCTCCTCCTCCCTCCTCGTTCCTCCCTCCCTCCCTCCCTCCCCCCCTCCCTCCGCCTGCCATCCTCCTGCCTCCTCCGCCTCCTCCTCCTCCTCCTCCTCCTCCTCCTCCTTCCTCTCTCCTCCTCCTCCTCCTCCTCCTCCTCCTCCTCCTCCTTCCTCCTCCTCCTCCTCCTCCTCCTCCTCCTCCTCCTCCTCCTCCTCCTCCTCCTCCTCCTCCTCCTCCTCCCTCTCCGCCGCCGCCGCCGCTGCCGCCGCCGCCGCCGCCGCCGCCGCCCGCCCTTCCCGAAAATGGCCAACCCCTCAGTCCCTCCATCCCCCTCCCCCTCCACCTCCTTCCCCCCCTCCCCCCTCCCCCTCCTCCATCCCCCCCTCCCCCCTCCCCCTCCTCATCTGCCTCCTCTCCGCCACCGCTGCCGCCGCCTCTCCCCCCCCTGAGCGCGAGGCTGGGCCCGCGCGGCCCAGTGCTGCGGCCTGCGGTGAGGGGCACGGTCCGCGTGAGGAGTGCGCCGCACGAGCGCAGCAAGAACGAGCAATAAACCATCGAGCAGCTGCACCAGCAAACCGAGTATTATGCAAGCCCAGCGAAGGCCTCCCCTTTCCGGCATTGGGACAGATCAGCCTTGTGACGGTCCCCGGTCCTCGGTCCCCCGATTCCCCCGCTGTTCCTCTTTATCCTCTTCTTGAACATGTGCAGCCCTGCTCCCGCAAACACCCGACTGGCCGTTTGGTCGAGTGTCTTCCGAACGGAACGGCCCCCTCCCCCCTCCCTTCTCTTCACCTTTCTTCCGTTCCCCCCCATTTCCTCCTTCCTCGCTCCGTCTACAACCACTCAAAATCAATACTATTTTCTTTTTTTCTTGTCTCCCTCGAAGACTGCCGGGGAGTAGCCCACCCCCTCCGCGTTTTTTTTGGGGGCTTTTCGTACTTTGGTCCTGGCCCCCCCCTCCTTCGTCCTCCTCAACCTCCTCTTCCTCTTCATCCTCCTTCTCCTCCTCCATTCCTTGTCCTTGTTAATAACTTCTCCCTGTCGCACCCCGAGGCCAGTTTTTCGGGCGGACCGGGTGTTTCGCCTGAGACTTCCTCACCATTTATTACCCTGAAGCCTAGAATTTGGCAACAGTTTCACACATGGAGGGCGGGCTGTTTTCAACATGTCGCTCTCGCCTTTGCGCCGCGCTCGCTTTTTTTCTTCCAAACATTGCACGATTTTCACATATCGAGGGCGACCCGTTTTCAACATGTGGCTCTCGCCCTAGCGCCGCGTACATCGTTCTAGACATTTGCACGAGCCTCACGGATTGAGGACGGTTCCTTTTCAAAACGTGGCTCCCGCTTTGGCGCCGCGCACGTACGTCTGTAAACATTTGCAAGAGTTTCACGGGTTCCCATGGTCAGCGTACCAGAAATGGCGTTTTGGAGGGACTCAGGAGTTTGAGGGTGCAACAGTTACGCTCATTCGCAGCGTTGAAGCCCCATGAGCGGCGCTCTGGTACGGTTCAGGATCGTCAGGACGCAACAGTCAGGCTGATCCGTGGCGTTGGGATCCCGAGAGCAATGTTCTGGCATGCCTCAGGGTCTTCAAACGGATGTCTTCCAACGAGGCACTTTCCTCAGTGGAAACGAACCGCTGTAGGGGCCTATGAAGAGGGAGCTTGGAGGGAGGGTTTATTCCAACAAGGTTGATGTCTCGTGGGTTTACACTGGTCCTCCTCCTCCTCCTTCCCCTCCTCCCGCTCCCAAGGAGAGCCGAGAGCCTCCTCCCCTGGTGCCGGTGTGCCCACGGCCGTGCCCGTGACGCAGTGGCCTCTCGAGCCCGCCGGCCAGGGCGCCGGGCGCCCGGGGTGGCCGAGACTTTTGGGCTTCCGTGCGTCGGCGGGCCGAGCAGCGGCGTGGCTCTAGTCAACGGGACGGTCGAAACGGGTACGGGAACAATTTGTAACCGACTGCACGTCCTGTCCATTTTGAGCAGGACTTGCTGTCGGTGTCGCCGCGGGCGTTGTCCACTGGAGACACGGGGCCGCCTGCCCAACAGCGGCCGCTGTCGGTTGTGGACCACAGTTGCTGCTGGGCATCTTGCCCATGCTTTCCCTACCCACTTCGGGGGTCCAAAGACCAGGAGCTTTTGGCCAGCGCGTCGCGCCGCCAGGCGCCCGCCCCGCCGACTCGGCGGCCGGGCCTCCCTCCCTCCTCCGCCTGCCTGCCCGCCCTCCGCCGTGCCACACGCTTCAGTGCGCCAGCGCCCGGCGCGGCCCGCCGGTCCCCCGCACATGCGCGCCTGCGCTCGCCGGCGCTGCCGACTGGAAGTGCCGCGCCGCGAGCTCTGGCCCGCCACGCTGCGGCGCGGCACGCCAAGCACGTCCTCGTCCCCAAGCATTGGGTCGGGCCTGTCCCCCTACAGGCCGACTTTCGACGAAAATTAGCCTGGCGAAGAACCCAACCATATGCAGTTGTCAGTACCGCAGCTGCGGGTTTCATCTTCAATGGAACTCCCCATAGGATTACGGAACGTGTGAGGGGTGTGCCGAGATGGGTGCCACTGGGGCATTCGGCGAAGCTCCCTATGGGGACATGAAACACGCGCGGGGCGTGCCGACATGGGTGGCGGAAACGCATGTGCGGGCCGCCACTGGGGCCTCCAGTGGAGCTCCCTATGGGTCCCCGAAACATGATGCTGCTGCGGGGGGGGGGGGCGGGATGGGTGGCGGAGACGCATGTAAGCGCCGCTACTGGGGCCTTCGGTGGAGCTCCCTATGGGGCCACGAAGCGCGTGAGGGGTGTACTGGGATGTGTGGCGGGGACGCATGTGAGCGCCGCCACTGGGGCCTTCGGTGCAGCTCTCTATGGGGCCACGAAACGTGTGAGGGGTGTGCCGAATTGGGTGCGGGTGGTGACGCATGCGGGCGGCAGCACTGGGGCCTTCGGTGGAGCTCCCCATGGGGCCACGAAACCTGTTGTTGTGAGGGGCGTGCCGGGATGGGTGGCGGGGACGCATGTGAGCGCGGCCGCTGGGGCCTTCGGTGGAGCTCCCTATGGGGCCACGAAACGTGTGAGGGGTGTGCCGAATTGGGTGGGTGTGGGTGACGCATGTGAGCGCCGCCACTGGGGCCTCCGGTGGATGATGGGGCCACGAAACCTGTCAGGGATGTGCCGAAATGGGTGTGCGGGACGCATGCGCATGTGAGCGCCGCCACTGGGGCCTTCGGTGGAGCTCCCTATGGGGCCACGAAACGTGTGAGGGGTGTGCCGAAATGGGTGTGGGTGACGCATGCGGGCGCGGGCACTGGGGCCTTCGGTGGAGCTCCCTATGGAGCCACGAAACGTGTGAGGGGTGTGCCGAAATGGGTGTGGGTGACGCATGTGGGCGCGGGCACTGGGGCCTTCGGTGGAGCTCCCTATGGAGCCACGAAACGTGTGAGGGGTGTGCCGAAATGGGTGTGGGTGACGCATGCGGGCGCGGGCACTGGGGCCTTCGGTGGAGCTCCCTATGGAGCCACGAAACGTGTGAGGGGTGTGCCGAAATGGGTGTGGGTGACGCATGCGGGCGCGGGCACTGGGGCCTTCGGTGGAGCTCCCTATGGAGCCACGAAACGTGTGAGGGGTGTGCCGAAATGGGTGTGGGTGACGCATGCGGGCGCGGGCAGCTGGGGCCACGAAACGTGTCGGGGTGTGATGCTGGGGCCCTATGGAGCTCCCTACGAAACGTGTGAGGGGTGTGCCGAAATGGGTGTGGGTGACGCATGCGGGCGCGGGCACTGGGGCCTTCGGTGGAGCTCCCTATGGAGCCACGAAACGTGTGAGGGGTGTGCCGAAATGGGTGTGGGTGACGCATGCGGGCGCGGGCACTGGGGCCTTCGGTGGAGCTCCCTATGGAGCCACGAAACGTGTGAGGGGTGTGCCGAAATGGGTGTGGGTGACGCATGCGGGCGCGGGCACTGGGGCCTTCGGTGGAGCTCCCTATGGAGCCACGAAACGTGTGAGGGGTGTGCCGAAATGGGTGTGGGTGACGCATGCGGGCGCGGGCACTGGGGCCTTCGGTGGAGCGTGTGAGGGGTGTGCCGAAATGGGTGTGACGCATGCGGGCGCGGGCACTGGGGCCTTCGGTGGAGCTCCCTATGGAGCCACGAAACGTACACCGATGCATCCTACGATCTACATCGACGATCATCAGGACAGCGGAGAACTCTACATCTACATCATTACATCTACACCTACATCTACACCTACAACTCACATCTACATCTACATCACATACACCTACATCCACATCTACATACATACATCTACATCTACATCTACATCTACACTTTCGCATTGGTTTTGCTTTTGCTTTGCATTGCCTTTGCTTTCGCTCTTGCCTTTGCTTTTGCCTTTGCCTTCGCTTTTGCTTAAGCCAAGCTAAGCTAAACTAAGCTAAGCTAAGCTAGACTCAGCTAAGCTAAACTAAGATGATATAAGCTAAGCTAAGCTAAGCTAAGCTAGGCTAGGCTAGGCAAAGCAAAGCAAAGCTAAGCTAAGCCAAGCTAAGATGAGATAAGCTAAAGCTAAGCTAAGCTTAGCTAAGCTAAGCTGGGTGAACCCAGGGGGCGCAACTGGGAAAACCGCGGGGCGGATACTGGGGGAACCGCCCGGGCCGGTTCCCACTGCCCGGCCTTTTAAGCCAAGAGAGTAAGAACCCTTCTAGGCAGAGCCTAGGTAGGGAAATACCCCCAAAGTATTCAAAGATGTTCAAAAATGGGAAAAACGTCCCCAGACTATTTTTCGACTATTTTGGAATGTTCCTCCTGTAGAGGGACAGGCCCGACTTAACCCAAGCATCAGCGCTCTGGGCCTTTGCCTGCCTCTCCTCCCACGAGGCGGGGCGACCCGCTGTCAGCTTCCGAGGTGTAGCGCGTCGCAGGGGCCGCCTCCGCGACACGCTGGCTCAATGATAATGATGAGGATGAGGGTGATGATGCTGATGATGATGATTCTGCTGCTGCTGATGATAGTGATGATGCTGATGATAGTGATGATGCTGATGATGCTGGTGCTGATGATGATTATGATGCCGATGCTGATGTTGATGCTGCTGATGATGATGACGCCGACGATGATGACGATGATGCTGCTGCTGCTGATGGTGATGATTATGATGACGATGATGAAGGTGATGATGCTGATGATGGTTATTATGATGATGGTGATGATGCTGGTTATGATGATGGCGGTGCTGATGCTGATGATGATGATCTGATGATGATGATGATGATGATGGCGATGATACTGATGGTGGTGGTGGTGATGAAGATGAGGAGGAGGAGGACGAGGAGAAGGAGGATATATAGTGAGGTCCAGTGTAACCCCCAGCCCCATCAGCGATGTCGGAATAAGCACTCCCTCCAAGCTCCCTCTTCATGCGCCCCTACATGGTCCTGTTTCCACTGAGGAAACTTAACCGTTTAGAGAACCGTTGGAAGATCCCGAGGCGTGCCAGAACACTATTTCCCGGGACTCTAATGCCACTAATCAACCTGACGGCTGCGTTTTGATGATTTTGATCCATGCGAGCACCGCGAATCAACGTAATTGTCGCGCCCGGGCGATTCGGAATGATTCCAAAACACCATTGCTGGTCCATTAACCATGGGGATTTGTGAACCTCTTGCACATGTTGAAGACGAATGTGCGCGTCGCTGCGGTTAGAGCCACATTTTGAAGGTACCACCGTCAATCCGCGGAGCCCTTTTGCATTATGAAGACGAGTGTGCGCGGCGCTAAGGTGAGAGCCACATTTTGAAATCGAACTGCTCTTATCTCGTGAAGTTCTTGCAAACTCTTAAGACGAGTGTGCGCGCCGTTCAGGCGAGAGCCACATTTTGAAAACCACCTGTCCTCGCTCCGTGGAGCTCTTGCATTTTTCTAAGACGAATGTGCGCGGGGTTGAGTCGAGGGCCACATTGTGAAAACCTCTTGTCCCCAATCCGTGAAGCTCTCGCAAACTTGTCAGACTGATGTGCGTGGCGCTACGCCATCCGTGAAACTGTTGCAAGCTCTAAGCTTCAGGATCATACATGGTGAGGAAGTCTCATGCGAAGCGCCCAGCCCGCCCTTCAGATTGGCCTCGGGGTGCGACAGGGAGGAGTTAAACATAAGGCAAAGGAATTGAGGAGGAGGAGGAGGAGGAGGAGGAGGAGGAGGAGAAGGGGGGGTGGAGGAGGAGGGGCATGATGCCTAGGAGGAGGAGGCGGAGGAGGAGGAGGAGGAGGAGGAGAAAGAGGAGGAGGAGGGGAAGAGGTCCAGGAGGAGGAGGAGGATGGCGCCGAGGAGAACCTCCCCGCTCCCCTAGCGCCAGGGCGCCCAGTCGGACGCGCGCCACCGCAGGATGACGGCGCTGGAGCTCCGCGCCAGCGAGGCGCGGGCCGCTCGGCGCGCTGGCCGACGGGTTAGCGGACGCCGTGGACGTCGTTGTCGTCTGTATGTGTGTATGAGTGTATGAGTGTATGAATGTATGTATGTTTGTATGTATGTATGTACGTATGTAGGTATGTATGTTCCCCAATCAGAGCTTGCCTCTGTAGGCGTCCTAGCGGATTCATTTCCCAATCAGAGCTTGCTGGGGTCCTAGCGGATTCATTTGGTTAGGTGAGGTACGGCGCCGATTTCGGCAGCACGCTCAGGTGCCCGGTAGCCCTATAGCCCTATCGCACTAAAGATTTATAGCCTTATAGCCCTATAGCACTATAGCCCTATAGCCCTATAGCCATACAGTCCTATAGCCCTATAGCCCTGGTAGCCCTATAGCCCTATAGCCCTATAAACCTACCGCCCTATAGCCTTATAGCCGTATAGTCCTACAGCTCTCATGCCATATCGCTCTATAGTCCTCTAGCCTTATAGCCCAATAGCCCTATAGCCCTATAGCCCTATAGCCCTTTAACCCTATAGCCCTATAGCCCTATAACCCCATAGCCTTTTAGCCCTATAGCCCTATAGCCCCATAGCCCCATACTCCTATAGCCCTAAAAAGATTCTGATTCGATTTTTTATCCCGTATCATATGGTTAAGCGAGGTACGGCGCCGATTTCGGCGGCACGCCCGGGTGCCTGGTTGCCTGGGTGCCCGGGATCCCGGGTGTCTGAGTGTCCGGGTGTCCGGGTGCCCGGTAGCCCTATAGCCCTATAGCCCTGTAGCCTTATAGCCTTACAGCCCTATAGCCCTAAAGCCCTAGCCCTGTACGTAGCCCTATAGCCCTAATAGCCCTGTAGCCCTATAGACCAATAGCCCAATAGCCCTATAGCCTTATAGCCTGATAGCCCTATAACCCTATAGCCCTCTTGCCCTATAGCCCAATAGCCCTGTAGCCAAATAGCCCAACAGCCCAATAGCCCTATAGCCCTATAGCCCTGTAGCCCTATAGCCCCGTAGCCTCACAGCCCTATAGCCCTATAACCATATAGCCTTCAACATTTTATTATTATTATTATTATTACTATTTTATTATATTATTATTATTATCATCATTATTATTATTATTATTTATTCATTATTATTATTATTATTATTATTATATATGGTCCCACATGTATATATGTATGTGTGTATGTATGTATGTATGTATGTATGCATGTAAGTATGTATGCATGTAGGCTCGTATTATTTATGCATGCATACTTGCAAGTATATAGGTATCTATGTATACATGCATGTATGTATATGCATGCATGCAAGCATGTATGTATATGCATGCATGCATGCATGTATGTATACATCATGAACGTAAGTATGTATGCTTATATAAATGTATATATGTATGCATACATGTATGCATGCATGCATGTATGCATTTTTGTATACATATGTACGTAGATATGCATGCATTCATGCACGATCGCATGTATGTATGCATGCATGCTGGTATGTATATCTGCATGCTTTTGTGTGTATATATGTGTATACGCATGCATGTTTGTATGCATGTATGTATGTATGCGCATTTTTAAATATGTAGGTAGGTATGCATGTCTGTATGCATGTATGCATGAATGCATTTATGCACGCATGTCTGCAAGTACACATATGTATGCATGCACGTCTGCTTATTTGTATGTATGCCTGTGTATATATATATGTATATATACATAAATGTATCTACATGCCCGTATGTATATGTGTGCACGCATGACTGTTTGAATGTATGTATGCATCGCGCACGTACGAACTTATGTATGTTTGTTTGTATGCATGTATGCATGTATGCAGGTATGTATGCATGTTTGTATGTCTGTAGGCGTGTATGCATGCATGTCTGTCTGCATGTCTGCATGTACGCATGTATGCATATACGTATGCGTGTGCGTGTATGTATGCATGCCTGCATGCATGCATGCATGCGTGTATATTTGCATCTATGTTGATGTGTGTGTACATCCGTATATGTAGGTCGACAGGTCGGTAGGTAGATTGGCATATATATATACAACTACGCACGTATGCATGCATGTATATATATAGATATATGTATGCATGCATGTATGTATGTATGTATGTATGTATGCATGCATGCATGCACGCACGCATGCATGCATGCATGCATGCATGCACTGCGTGTATGTCTGCATGCATGTATGCATATACGTTTGCATGTATGTACATATGTATGTAACGTATGTATGTATGCATGTGTATATGCATGCATGCATACGTATCTGTAGGCATATAGGCATGCATGCATGCATTCATGCATGTATGTATATGTGTATGCATGCATGCATGAATGTATGTATGCGTGCATGTATACATGCATGCATGTATGTAGGTATGTAATTGCATGCCACGCCGATCTGATCGGGTGCCAGCGGGTCCTGCTATCGTGAGCCGTTGCCAGCCGCCCCCTTCCTGCCAATCCTTCCTGCCCATCATTCCCCTATCCCTCCCCAGACCTTTGGCAGCGTGAGCTTTTCGCAACGCGGATACCCATCCCCAGGTGTCTGGATCATTCCCCCCGGACATATTTTTCATCCCAGCAGTTTCTGATCGTCCCAGGGCCCCGTGGGGGCCCATGCAGGCAGCAAAAGTGCAAACGCCCGCCGCCGTGCTTTTCACAACGAGAGGGGTCTGGGTCCTCCTGCTCCTCGTCCTCCTCCTCCCTCCCGTCCCTCCCTCGCTTCCTCTCTCCCTCTTCTCCTCCTCTTCCGTCTCCTCCTTCTCCTCCTCCTCCTCCTCCTCCTCCTCTCCCTCCTCCTCCTCCTCCTCCTCTCCCTCCCCCTCTCCCTCCCCCTCCCCCTCGCTCTCCCTCTGCCCCTCCTCTCCTTGCCCGTGGCGCGAAGACAAGTGCCGGCCCCGAGGCCGTCCGCCAGCGCTTGCAGACTGACGGCCTCCTGCGGCAGGAGGAGCTCTTCCTCCAGCGCTCCGAGGCCCATCTGCTCCTCCTTCTGGAGGAGGAGGAGGAGGAAGATGAGGAGGAGGAGGAGGAGGAGGAGGAGGAGTGTGCTTCACCCTCCTCCTCCTCCCCCCTCCCCCCTCCCTCCCCCCTCCGCCCTCCTCCCTCCTCCCTCCTCCCGACCTCCCTCCTGCCTCCTCGCTCCTCCCTTCTCCGAACTCCTCCCTCCTCACTCCTCTCTCGTTCCTCCTCCTCCGCCTTCTCCTCCTCCCGTAGCCGTTTTGGCTCGCGATGCGACCGTCTGCGTGGCTGGAAGCGGAAACCGCTGGTCCGCGGCTGGCAGGACCTTGGAAGGCCTGTCATCTTTTTTTCCTCATCGTGCACCTCCTTTTCGCTCCACCTTTCTCCCCGTCTCTCTCGCCGTGTCCTGGCGCTTCAGTGTTCCGTGGCGCGGTGGCCCCAGCTGGGGGCAGGGAGCGGACGAGGTGGCGTGACTACCTGAAGAAACCGTGCGACGTGGGCAGCTCGTGCGGTCACTGGAAGTATCAGTCCTATGGGATTTGGTGCTGCTCGAAGTGCAGAGGATTGTACGATCGTGAAGATGTGTCTCAGAATCCACGGAGGCCAGGAGATGATGGAGTCAAAGCAAGTCCGGAGGTGCCAGAAACGCTACGTGCTGCTGTCCAAACCTGTCTTGCTGGGGGACCAGATTTGAAAGATCAATTTGTTGTCTTGGTTATGGTGCAGAAGGATATCGACTGGATGGAGGCTAAGATGTCAGATGAGACGAGTTGTGAGCGTACCAGGCTCAAAAGAGAGGTGGGAAATGCGGCTAAGGCGGTTAGATTTGCGTCGCAGGACAGCCACCACCGGAAGAGTCGTGTCCAGAAGTTTGAGGGTCAGCTGTCCGAGGCACACGTTGCATTGTAGGAAGCTGAGACCATGGTACGTGATGCTAATCAGAAGAGGAAAATAGAAGCTGATGGTGCAGTGGGGTCTTTGAATCAGGATGCAGGGATCTGAGCTCAACGACGTGAATTACGTGATGGGCAAGCCCAGCTTCAACCTGCACGGGCAGCGGCACCCGCAGGAAGACCGCCAACCCCAGTTGGTCCACCCCATGGAGGTGGAGGTGCAGGTGCTGCTGGAGTAGCGGGAGGTGCATGTGCTGCAGGTGCTGCAGTTGCTGCAGCGCGCCCGCGTGATGGGCTCGAAGTACCAGTTGGCGACGTACATATTTTAATGCCGGCGAAGTACTTGGCCTTCACATGATGGGTATTGCTCAACTACGTGAACGGCTTGCTGAAGGGCTTCTCCCGCTCAATATGGCCCAATAGTTCGCCATCGTGCAGAAACATATCCAGGAGGCGGCGGATGCCATGTCGGAGGCGGCGTCAGATGCTGCAGATCTGGCCCCAGACGTTGCGGGCGAGGCGGTTTCGTTGCGCAAGAGGTCGCTTGAGGTTCTGATGGACGACGGCGATCAGACCAGGATGGAGGAGCTCATGGTGCAGCGGGCCAGCAGCAGAGTGGCGAAGAGGGTCAAGAAGGCCCAGGAGAGTGCAGGAGTCAAACGCAATGGTTGTTTCAAGGAAGCTCTGGCGCAGATGTCGCAGCGGCAGCTTCGACAGAGAAGTAAGGGTCTTGTATGGTGATATCTAACGGCCTTCGGCCCATCCCGGCACCGTGTGTGGGTTGTGAGCATGAAGTCTATAGGATGTTCGTTGGGATCTCGTGGGGCGCTTCCCGGGGCCTCTTTGGAGGCAGTTTGGATGTCTCTTGGGGGCCGTTTGTGGGCCTTTTGGGGCCTCTCTTGGGCCTCTTGGGAGCATCCTGGGGCCTCTTGGAGGCCTCTTGGGGCTTCTTGGGCGCTTCTTTGGACATCCTGGAAACCTCTTGGGGCGGAAGGCTTGGATTTTCAGTTCGTGTTGCCTCTTTAGGGGCCCCTGTTGGGGCCGTCTTGGGGCTCTCTTAGGCTGTTTTAGGTGCCAGTTGGGCTGTCTTTGGGCCCTCTTGGGCCGTTCTGGGGCCCGCTTGGAGGCTTCTTGGGTCGTCTTGGGGCGGTCTTGGGGCCTCTAGGGCCGTCTGGGAGCGTCGGGGCACCGAGAAGGCGAGAACGCTACAATCTTTCAAAAGCCGAAGGAACATTCGATGATTTTGGCCTCTTGGGACTATCTTCGGAGGCCTCGCGGAGGCTTGGGTGCGTCTGGGAGACGTCTTGGGCCATCTGGAGGCCATTGACAGCGTCTTCGAGCGATGTTTCGGCGACTCTTCGACCGTTTTGGGCGGTCACAACGTCCAGAGGACCCGCGGGAAGTACCCCAGGACCCGCAGGAAACACCCCGAAACGGCATGGGAAACGGCTGGTCCGGGCCTTTGAAGGCTTGCACTTCTGGCTACAGTTGCAGCGTCGCCTGCACTTCTCAGGGCTGCATGAGCGCTGTGGCACTGCATTTCGTGCAAGAGTCATCGTGGTGGATCTCGCATTGGAGCATCATTGATAAGTCTTTTCTGAGCAAGGCGCATGATAAGGTTGGCGCCTTCATGTTTTGCGAGCGCCGCCAGTTCCCTCCGACTTGGGATCGGCCGAGCGTGATGTTGCTATGCTGAAGTGGAGGCCACACTTTGTCCCTGCCACCCCCTCTCCTGGAGGGGGCGCTCACTGAGATGTAGGGACTGATGTAGGCAAGGCCTTGTTTTTGCAAGTGTTCTCTCGGACTTTGGACAGGTCCGTGCAGTGGGATCTGGCAATGGCTTGTTGCTTCTGGAGTTAAAAAACCCACCGGTTGGTGATGGCTGTAGGAGCTGTTTACGCTGTGTGCGGTTTGGGTGTTTCGGGTGAGATTATTACTAGCATGAGGCATGTCAGCATTTTTGTCAACCTTCTGAGACACCCTTGGTTCCAAATGGGTGGCTTTAATTTCGATAATGAGTGGTTGAAGTTGTTTGGTTCCTGACGATGACGCCCTCTTGTACCATTCCTCCGAACGGTGTAGGTTTTAGGTGCAGTGTGGGAAGGGTCGCTCCTCGACTGCGTGGCTGCCGCGAGACGATTGTTTTTTGTTGCGAGTTGAGCAGTTGCAAGCGTCGCCTGTCGAGACGAACTGCTGCTTGGATGTGGGGCTTCCGCGCGAAGCACTCACCCAGGTCATGGGCAACATAGTTAGTTTCCCTTGCACTGGCGCAGGCGCAGGGTCCATCTCTCCCGTGGCCCAGTGGCCATGCTGATGAACGGTCTGAATGGAAGCCGGCGCAGGACCCTTTTCGCCGCGAGCTCGTGCCGCGTGTTCGTCAGCGTGCTTCTCAAGAGCTTAGTGGTACTTATTTGAAATGGTCTAGAGCTACTGAGCATATGTACATGCATATAGTAGTTGAATGTAACATGAGGTGCGCATGTACCATGGGCTTGGGGATTTCATTCGTGGGCGCGCTACTATTGTTGCGGATCGTGGTGACAAGCGTTTGTGCTGCCGAGCCAGCTTTGGCCGTCTGGCCCATGGTCTCGCAGAAGCTGTTTGAAATCAGTGTTGCAGCGGGCCGTCGTTATCACAGTATGCGCGTTGCTATCAGAGCTAGACTTTTTGACCTCGGTCGGCGTGTTCTGCAGTTTGCTGCCTGCCTTCCATCTGATCAGTCTGTCGCTGAGTGGCAAGCTCAGCTGTCGGACTCTGAATCGTCCGATCCCAGTCAGTGCCAAGCGATGCAGGGTCTTTGCTCGGTCACCCAGTCTTGGCGCGCGGCAACAGGCGAGGGCGGCGCCTGCTATGGCGAGTAAGGATTGGCCCATCAGGGCGCTTCCTCCCGATGGGGGTTAGAAAGCCCGCTCTGATTGAAGCAAGACCAAGACGAGCCCCTGGAGCACCCTGGAGCACTGCATCGCGCCCAGCGAGGCGTCTGACTGCCGCGTGAGATGGTGGCTCATCGTGAATCTCTCCGGAGAGAATGCTTGGACTGCCAGCCCATCTCAGATACAGATGCCGCATGAATCGTTGGCGGACCTTCGGAGTGGGGCCCTGCGTGGGGCCCCATGAGCTGCCAAATATTGAAGTTGGGGGTCTTTATGGGGCGTGCGGGGTGTTCTGAGCCTGCTGCTGTGGGGGTGGACCATTGGGAACTGCGGGGGGTCCTTGGACTGGGCCCTTCTGCTGTGGAGGACTTGTGGGGCTCTGCCGTGAGTGCCAGCGGCCCATGATGCGGCCCCCTCTGCTTTTCCTTGCGATCGTTGGCCTGCCCCCGAAAAGCAAAACTGATGCCGGACGGGTGCTCTGGGTGCCCCGCCCTGTGTGGGACATGCAGTAGGATGCGAGGTCCCATCGTCGACGATTTGGAGTCCGAGTCATGCAGCCTTTTGGGGCACCGCCACCGAAGGGAGCTCAGCATTGCAAGCTACGCTCGGGCGAGACTTGTTTCGCGAGCTGGCTCGCTCCGTGGGCCAGGCTCGCACCGCAGTCCATGGGGGGTTCACCAAGTTGTTCCGACGCTGTTGTGCCTGCTAGGGTCAGACTGGCGCGCGATTCGGATTTCCCGCCGCGCCTCGTGCGCCTTGGGCCTATGGTGCATGTGGCCCCATCCTATGGTCGAGTCTAGTGGCTCTGTTTTAATCTGATCGAATCTGGGGTCGGTGTGCTCCCTGGATGTGTGCAGAGTGCCGTGAGTTAATCTATAGTTGTGCCCCGTGCCTACTGACATCCCCAACGCAAGCGCTCCCCAGGTTGATGACATTGCCCAGGTCGCCCATGGCCCCCTGGGCGGTGTGCGGAAGGCTATCGTTTCTGTATTCGCCCACCTCGTGCGCGCCAGTCGGAAAGCCGAGCTCACCCTGTTTCAGAATCTGCCTCTTCTGGGCGCCCAGAAGTATGTTTCGCTGCAGTTGCTCAGGATATCAAAATGAGCCGTGCAACTGGAGGCGTCGACACTCCTGCCGCTGCTAGTAAGAGACGCGCCGCCTCCATCCTGCAGGCGAGGCGGAAGATGGGGTGGGGGGGCGGGGCATTATCTGACGCGCACTGTTAAGCGAGCCTCTGAGTTGTCGCA